AAAAAACTACTTAGGATTTACCTTTTAAATTAATTTAAATTAAGATTAAAATTATAATTTTTTTTTCTATAAAATTAAAGTTTAATTTAAAATTAACAAGGACATTACATATTTAAAAAATAAAATTAGACCTACATACTCGAATATTACACATAACTTTATCGATTTTTACTGTTACCGTAAGGAATCTCATTTCCGTTTTTACTTTCAAAGTAAAAGCTCCGCTATTAATACTGACACGACTTACGATATCTATCTCTGTATTCATTTGGGCCGTATGACAACATAACACATTTAATCACACGTTTACCCTCTGTCCTTGCTATTAGAAATGACCAATGAGCACCGGACATAGTGACTGATCACAGCCAATAATTTTATTCTGAAAAGCTGAACGTCTGCCACCATGCACATGCGCACACGAGCATCAGCATTCGGTTACCTTGGCAGCGGGAGGAAAAGGTGGCGGAGCTTACTCTCTTTGCCACATAGTCCTACAACACAGAGCCGTTAGCTCTAACGGAGATAGCGGTTTAAAAAAGGTAAAATATATTATATATTTGCTAGATACGGTTTATTATAATGTTAGCTATCTAAATAAGCTAATTAGCCTTAACGAGGGTTAGTGTGTCTCGTTGTACAGTTAGCCTTTCTGAGCTAACGTTAGCTAGCTAATGTAGCTCTAGCTAACTAACGTTAGCTGAGTTAACTCATTCTAGGTTGTGTTAGTTTTGGGCATAAACATAAACATGGACAAAAACACCCAGAAAGTATGCGAAACCGTTTGAGCTACTTGGTGCTCGTTCCTCCGTTTGAGACTAATTTTAATTTCTTGAAGTTAACGGTTAAATCAAACTTACATACATGATAAACGGTTAGCTAACACAGCTGTTAACTTTAAATATCAACTTGACTACGATACTTTTGTTTGAAATCTAACGTTTTAACAAATGCATTTATATTAAGTAATATAATATTAAGTATGTCAAATTAATATTTTACATACTAATATTTTAATAATAATACATTTTATGGGTATAGCGCTTTAAAAAGCTACTCAAAGACACTTTACATGGTAAAAACAGAAACAATAGAAGCAATTACAATAAAAACAAAATAGATGACGTAACAGTAAAGGAACAAACATACATAACTGACTTTACAGGTAAAGTTTACATACTTTAAGTATAAAGAGGCTCTTCTTGCCATGTGGTGATCTGTCACTGAAGGTCAAAGTTCAAAAGGTTTGTTTGTTTTCATCAACAATCACGTGTTATCAGATAGACAGGTAACTGGAGATAGAGACACAGACAGGTAACTGGAGATAGA